AGAATTAAAAACTGTTGCTTTTAAAGTTTTTTAAACGCAAAATTCAAAAGTAACATTTTTGTTCTTTGGTGATACAAAGGTAAAATATATCCACGATTTTTTTTTTATGATAACTCGCAATCGCTATTTTTTGGGTACGTATAAGGTAAAATTTTCGCTCTACTCAATAGAGCGCAAACTAAATAGGCGAGGTAACACTGGACAACCCTGAAGGATAAAATACATCTCCGATCTTGCATCATGAATGCAGTACATCACTAATTTAGGAGTGTTTTCAACACTTCTCTCAGCTTTTTATTATAAGTCTCATATTCATATAAGAGTTTGAGATCGCTTGCTATGTTAGTAGAGAGGTGTTTTCAAGGCTGTTAATAGTTCAGAAATGAATCTAATAATTTGTGTCAAATTTAAAAATATTTTCGCTACTTCTCTCGCTTTTTAACTACAAATCAATAACTAGACAATACTAAATTCTAAATAATTTTGATTTCTTACAACTTTAAACTATTTTTCCGACCAATACAAAACATTTTTTTTAGTTATTGAGTGTAACAAAAAGCTCAAATCCATTTACTGAAAAAGGAGTAATTAAAGAAATGGACTATATTCTTACAAATATTCTTCTTTTCCACCCCCTAATGATACAAATATAACCCAATTAGCATAGGGACTACAAAATATGAGTTTTTTTTTGGTTAGGGAATAATTAATTTTGCAACAATTCATTTTATTTGATTTTACTCTTTTTGGACTGTGCTTTAAACCTTAAAAAGGTTCTTTTGTCCTACTAGTATTATTATTTTTTACTACGGAAACGAAGATGTGTGCAGAAGAAGTAAATTCATAAAAAAATAATAATAATCTTTTTCGAAGTCAAAAGGGAAATTAGGTTGAAAAGTAATAATTTATAACCATTTTATAATTTACACCAATTAAACGAAACGAGAAATAATAATAAAAAAATGATTGAAAATTCATTGAAAAGTATACTTGTATGGAGTCTATTTATTTATTTTTTTATTTAAATTGATTGATTAGTAACATATAAAAAAATTAAATAGTTAGTAAAGAAAAATATTTATACAATTAAGTAATTATGAAATTAAAAAAGTAAGATTTGTTATAAAGTATTTGTATTATAGTGAATGTCTATCATGTGGAGTACTTTTTAGGATATGGTTAAAGCGTCCTCCTACTTGGGGACCAAGTTAGATTTCTCCTATAAATAGAGTGTTCCTCTTCTTGTAAATTAATTCATAAAGAGAAATAACAAGTTTTCTCTTATTTTCTCTCTAGTTTCTTCTTCTTATTTTATAGTTTTATAACACGTTATCAGCATGATTATTATATTCTTAAATATTATGAAGAAGAGGGGAAAAGTGCAAAAGAGATATTGCATAAGTTATGCTAATGTTCTTATATCTTCAAGGTATGATTTATCTTTATGTTATAATTATTTATGTAACAGATTTGGAGGTACCATCTAAAGTAAGTATTTAAAGAGACCTGTCGACTTTCTATGTTTAATTTTAATCGACTGGGAGGAGAATTTCTTAATTTATTTTAATAATTAAATAAGCACAATTTAGTGAAAGGCATGTTTTCAATCTCTACATGAGGTACGTGATCTTTTAAACTATATCTATTAACTACTAGTGTTGATTATAAGAAATCATAACTCTCAGTTTTGTGTGTAATTATAATAATAATCATATTAATGATCATCAAAAGTGATAAAATTGTAATTATTTTCTAAGGCTTGAGGCTGAGCCTCATTGTGGGTAAGACAATGAATTTAAGTTATATTGCACAAAAAGAATAAAACGATGGATTTATGTCCAATCGCACCAAGAGGGTAAGACATCAGAAGTCTTGATGCTTTGTGATGAAAGATGTTGGATTCAAGTCCCTCATTGATTTATGGCATAAGACGTTGGGTTTGAGTCTCAATGCACCATGTTGATGATATTATGATGACTAAGGGAAATAATGAGTTTTTGATAAAAATTAGTCATGAAATATATCTCGTTAAAGCAGATTCATTCCCCAAAGTGAATGTAGCAATGCATAAATGTCTAAAAGAAGACAATCGATTAAATGATGCGCATGAATATGGAATGAGGTACTAAGTTATCAAAATTTGATGTACTTAGATGATTGTGTTCCATTCATGAAGAATGAGAGCCTTTGATAAATGGTAAAAATACAGATCCATTCTTTAGAGTGAATGAGGTGATTAGCCACCATGCTAGACGTGAATTTTCTTGTAATGATTGTTAGCAAGGCAAGCTAATTGTGAGACCATCATAAACGAAAGTTGAGATTGAATTCTCTGCGTTTTAGGAACTTATACAAATATTTGTGGACCTAGTCATCCACCTAGTGGATTGTTTAGACATTTAATGGTCCTAATAAATGTTTCTTCTATATGGTCTCATGTGTGCCTATTATTATTTCGCAATTTGATGTTTCCAAAAATGTTGACATAAATAATATGTTACATGCACAATTTTCTTCAGATTAGTTCATTCAATGATGGGATCATGACTCACCTAAAGGGTGAAGTAATTGAGAAGAAATAAATCTGAAAATTACTCTTGGATTAATAAAATTGAAATTCACTCATATAATAGTAAATCAGAAATTTACTAAAGCAAAAGGCACATGACGTAGTAAACTTGGAGTTTACGAGTACTAATAATTTTATTAGTTGACATGAGTAATTTGATCATCTCAAAGATGTGCATACTGATTAATGGACATACATTGAAAAATTAGAAGATTCTTCAAGAATTCTTTACGTTGCTTGTTCTCGTGATGAAGTTGATTGGTTCAACTAAAGTTGGGACTGATCCCTAATTTCTGAAAAGTATAAAAGGTGAATTGGGCCCGTTCACCTATCATGTGACATGATAAAAGGATGCATCTATAAGATAATCACATGTGCGTTTGTTGTCAACCAGTAGTTTGACATTCACAAAATTGTTTGTGCAAAAATAATTGAGTTAAGAGCACAATTTTAAAATATGTAATCAAGACAATTTATCTTGATAATGTTGATAAATACTCAAGATGTTGTGACATTAAATGTCTGAGATAGTGAAATCATTATCTGTGAACAAAAGTAATTGTATGCATCAAACCAACAAATTATGATCAGATTTTCTTTCTATTGATTTATGACCAGGGACCAAATATTTTTCATATGATTATTTTGGTATGTAGTATATAAGCAACGAATATACAATGATGCACAAAGATAGATTCTCCAAAAGATTGAGATATATGTTAGTTTGTCTAACATAAGGGGGAGACTAGAAGCAACACAAGAGTTGTAAATACATCTATTGAATGTCTCTTAAGAATAAAGTCTATGATATGCATGAAACATGATAGACTAATCAATTCTAAATAAAATAATCCTTGAAAAAAGGGAAGGATCAAAGAATCAAAATGATCATAATAAGGATACAATGTGCTCTTGGAGAGCCTACGACAACACTTTATGAAACCTCATGAGAGGGGTAGCTACCTAAAAATAATGAAGTGATGAGATTTCAATAAGTTTTGTCGTATTGTGAATCGATACAAAATGGTATATCGCTGACGATATCTTTGATACAATAGCGCGCAATATTGTAAAAGATTATGAGGATATGAATTTTACATCTATTAAAGCATGCGTGTGTAGAAATAATTATCAAGTGAAAAGTGGAATGATGTATCTTGGTAAGTGTAAAGCTTATTTGACTTGCAATTTAGGCACTAGAAGATGTCACACATATATTATTGAATATTGTTACTTGACAAAATTGATATGAAAATATCCAATGGGTTCGAAATCTAAAGCATATACAAGTTTTTGGAAAACTTGTTTATCATCCTCATAAAGATTAAATAGATTCAAAATGCATAGAGCATATTATGCAAGTTGATGACTAGAATTGAAACTCTTGGCAATAGATTATTTGCTTAAAGAAGTTGAAGTAAGGACCTTGCAGAAATCTTTGACCCTGAATTGAAGATTTATAAAAGCAGATAGAAGAAAACATATTTCATCAAGGTTTTTCTACACTCATAAGCTCCCAAGAATGGTGATATCAAATGCAAGAGGTTTGTTCTAGTAATATTATTGTTGATTTATTCACCAAGTCTCTACCAACTACAATTTTCAAGAAAATTGGTGAACGATCTATCAATCCTGAATATACTATGAATAAGAGATCTTTTCTCTTTGCTCTACTTTTTTCTTCTAATTTTATATAGTTTCATAACAAGATTACATTAATCAATGGTCTACTTTATATATTCTAATTAATTTTCAAATGACTTTATTAGTAATACGTAGTATCGTCAATATTTCAATCTTTGTGCTTTATATGATTAAGTGTTTCAAATATATCCGCTTAGCGAATTTCGAACCACCAATTGAAAGATACAAAGGTGGTTCAAAATCGAACTGAAATTGAAAATTCGGATATAAAAAGTTACATGCATGTTAATTGATAATGAGTAATTGGTTAACAAGTTCGATAAAGATTTTGATTTTTCTTTATTATTAGGTTATCGGTTCTTAAAAATTTGAGGTTTTTTCTTAATGGGTTAACCAATAATTCGATAGTAAATTAATTATTTATTTATGTCATTCGATATATAAAGTCTTTGACTTGAGATTTTTCATACTTTTATTTTTGGTTGTCTCAAAATTCTTAGTTACTCATTCGTGTATCGGTGTTTACTTTTGAGCAAAATATAATATGTCAACTCATGCGCATGGTTCATTTGGTTTGTCACCTTGTTTCTAAGTGATCATCAATGATTTTTTTGTTAAAAATCTTAAGAACTAAAATCAATAACAATCAGCAACTAATAAATCAATGACCAATAAACAAATATTTTAATAGTTCTATAATGATTTAACAACATATATAAAAACGTTAACTAATAAGTCGAACTAGTATACTTAAAACCCTAACATAACCGACCGATACGCAACCAGATAGTAATAATTATTAAGTTCATACCAGAAATTCAACATTCAACAAAGACATATGACATATTGTTTAGGATTACAATGTTCAATCTACCATGTTGTTCAAGTCTATAGAGAGAAATAAAACATTATTTTTCTTTTTGTCTTCTTAAGATACAATTCATAAGCATGCCCGCCTCAATAGGATTGGCGAAAACCCTATTTGAGACAGTCTGAAAGATCGATACAATAACCAAAAACCAAAAGCTTCAAAAGTCTAAGGATAAGTTCCCTTTCTACCACATCCGAGCCAATAGGGAGCATAAGGGCCTACGAAGCTGCACCAAAGATTCGGATTCTTCGTTCAATTGGAACCAAACATGAGGGACATTTAGCTTGTTCATTGTTACCATAATTGTCATTGCAGTTTGCACAGATAATCTGATGAGCACAAGGTAAGAAAACAACGGAAACTTCACCTTTCTTGCAAATAACGCATCGCCTATCATTGCTAGCATCCTTCTTAGACGAAGAAACTTCCAATGTATCAAACTCATGTAACAACTTTGCAATATCTCTTTCCGGAGCCTCATTAGATGCTTTAAGCCGAGATAATTCTTGATGAAGACGTTCGAGCTCATCCTTGTACTGCTGGGACTCTATTTCAGAGCTAAGTCGCATATCCATGAGCATTCTTTTGTTAGTAGCTTTAACTTCTTCATTGAGGCGCGTCTCCTCTTTTAATAGCGATAAGGCTTCCGCCTTAGCCCTTTGCTCTTGCTTCCACATTGCCTGTCAAAAGTTGGACTTAGAAACCATTATCTAAAAGGAAGACAAAGATGGCGATTTTATCATAACATAAACAATAATAATGAGCAAAAAATTGAATGTACATTTCAATTGCTATATTATACCTTTGATAAATATTGTGATTTGTGAAGAGAATATATTAAAGAGAAGAAAGTACATCATACCTCAGCTTCCTTTTCAGTTTTCTCACTCTCAACCAATTGTTGCTTCAAATCGAAGATCATCTGTTTTTCTGCAGCGATACTGTCTTGCAACTTCTTTTTCTGTTTTTCCCAAACTTTAAGTTTCTTTAGGCACTTCTTCTCTTTCTTTAGAGCCTCCAATTGAGTAATTTCATATTCTGATGCTCTTAACTTGTAAGCCTCTATCTCTGCCCTTAATTCATCATTTTCCTTCTCAATCTTTTCCTTTATCAGGTTTCCCCTGTCAATTAGACCACTTGTTTTTTCTACGACAGTCTTCATCTTTTCACACTCATAAACGAGTCTTTCTAAGCGACTTCCTTCCTTTAACTGCTTATCATTCTTCAGTTTGCGCGTCTCTTCCATGTTCATCCGTAATATCCTCAGCTCAATTGAGTCATTGCTAACTTTATTTGCAGCCTGCATTACCTTTTGGTGCGCCCAATCTCTGCGCTCCTTCACTTGTCTTTCTAGTTCTTCTGTCTGATGGATCAAGCTCGAATTCATCTCATCCATTTCCCCGTGGACTTGCATTGAATTCTCATTGAAATTCAAATGATGGAACTTACTCGAGCTGGAACTAACCACATTTTGATTTTCCATAATGTCAGATTCATCAGATTTCGCAACTCCACCCTCAGATCTGGATATACCTTCACTAGACAAGTTCCTACAGTCCTCGGAGTATTTTCTTAATTCAGCACTAAATGTTGCGATGTTTCTCTTCAGCAATGTTTTCTTTGAAGGACTGAGATTGAACCTATTTGGAGATCCATGATCGCCAAACTCCATCTAAGAATTTAATAGCAAAAACTCAGATTTTGTTCCAAATTGAGATATAACATTTCTATATAAAACTTGATGTGCATATAATGATAATGAATTCAGTTTTTATATTAGGACTCTATTTTTTTACTCTTATTTCACAATGTTACAATTCATAAAAACCTAAAAATTGGGAGGGGGAAGGGGGGTCAACACCAACAAAATTCTAAATTATTATTGAATATTTTTAACTAAAAAATTAATTTTTTTTTGATGGATTCAAATTGAAAAGAAAGACTTACGACTTTGTAATTATCGCGCTTTCAAAATGCTGAATAGATTGACTTCAAGAGTGAGAGGAACGAGAGTGAGATGGAGAACTGTATGAGGTACGAAATTCTCAAATACAATTCCAATAGAAGGAATTGAACTAACTATTTCGATGTGGGAGAACTGTAGGAGGTACGAAATTCTCAAATACGATTCCAATGGAAGGAATTTAACTAACTTTTTCGATGTGGGAGAACTGTATGAGGTACGAAATTCTCAAATACGACTCCAATTGAAGGAATTGAACTAGCTATTCCAATGTGGGAGAACAGGTCATTCGACATAGAGATTCTGAAAATGCAAATGTTTCTAAAATGAAAGTTATATATTACCTAGTTAGGGATAGAGATGGGTTGAATTCTCAGAATCTGAAAATAATTTTAGATATATCTGAAGTGATACCTAAGTGAATATATTTAGGAGAAATTACATAATTCGACATACTTCACTATCATATATACTATTATTACATATACTTTTAAAATATTACTTATCTTACTACTAAGAATTTCCTTCCATATATTGAGAAAAATATACTTAGATACATGTACTTTTGCTGCCATATACACTAATATAGAAACAAAGGCGAGTGAGATGAGGAGGTAGACAAGCAATATTTGTTATGTATCTGAGATACGTGTGGATCGTACTAGATACACACTATATACATGAATTTGATCGATGTGATTAACATGTATTTGAGAAACTAAATACATAAGAAAGTAGCGAGACAAATGGGAGAAATGCAAGGGAGGCGAGAATGTTTGGTTATGTATCTTAGATATATGTGAATCCGTTTGGATACAATATATCTAAAACAAATTTGACCCCATATACCCTGAGATACATGTACCTGGACATATATGAATGCACCAAAAATGTAGTAAGATAAGTAATATTGCAAACTAGAGTGTATCTAAATAATTAATTTATAAACTATTGAAATTTATTTAAGTTTTCCATATATTACAAAAAATAATTTAACTTTGCTACATCTTAAACAACTATGTGCACTTTGACCTAATGTAAAAAAATGATAGGATAAATTTCTATCTAGTAAAAATTCTAACATAATTAGTGAAATCGTCGGGAACCTTCGCAATAGCTATCATAGTAAACTTAATTATGCTTCATAAGTGGGTTGTTCATGGTTATGGTTAGCAACCAAATCGAAACGCAATTCGAACCAAGTCGATTTAAAAAAACATATATTTGATTTAATTTGGTTAGGTTTGGTTTTTAAATTTTGAAAATCGATATTATTTGGTTCGTTTTTGGTTTTACTAAAAAATAACCAAATCGAACCGATAAATTAGATATATAGATTTTATAATTATTTATATATTATTCATAAATAAATTAAAAATATTTTGTTAAATTTCAATTAATGAAGTCTTTAACTTTACCATTTTCTCAAGCTCAACACTATAACCCAAGTATAACAATCTCAAATTCAAATCCATCAAAATTCATTTTAGTCTTTATTTTACTGTATTTCAGATAAAATAGTCGCATTTTCTCTTAAATGAATCACTTTGTTCGTGTAATGATAACTCTAATATTGCTTAATTGCTTGATTCAACCGACATTAGCTTTTATGTAGATTGTTCACGTACGTGTTGGGTCTATTGAGGTATGTACGTCCTAAAAAAATTATTACTTTCAAACCGAATAAATCATAGAAACTGAACCAAACCGACTATAACCAAACCAATGATTATTTTTTTTGTTTGGTTCTAGAAATTTAAAAAACCGACTAGATTGGTTTGGTTTTGGTTTTAATCAATAACCAAACCAAACCGAACCATAACTATAGTTAACATATTTACGGGTTGTAGCTACATTTTAATTGTGGGTACATTTGTATTATTCATTTAGTTTTGTATAAACTCTAAATAATGTATTTATACAATTACAAATATCAAAAGTGTAAACAGTTATACAAATTCTGAACTACACAAAAATTACACAAATTTAAATTATACAAACGTTCAAATTATACAAAATTAAAAAATTGAGCCGCATAATTATAAAAAGTAGATCCCGAATTGTAATTAAGACAAACTATAGTTATGTTAACTAATTAACTAGTATATGTTTGCTTATACGCGTAATTTCTGTTGATAAATTTTAGTCCATTAAAATTGATTTCATAGGCTGGGCCCTAAACAAATTGGGCTCCAATCCCAACAATTGTTTGGGCTGGCCCAGAATCCCACACTGAACCTTTGAGTTGTTCAGCAGCTTCTTCTTCTTCTTCCAATTTTGTAGTATCAAAATATCAGTCAAACATTGCCATTAACAAAACAGCTAAAATTCTCTGAATTAATTGTAGTTTCGAGTGCTTCAACAGTTCTCTAGCTACTCTTAGGTGCACTATTTCTTGCCATTTATTTTTTCCCAGTTTTTTTTTTTTTGTTTTTTGGTTAATGGAAGATTCGTCTTGTTGTTATGATTTTCCAGATTTTTTGTTCTCTCTGGGGGATAAAGGGACATGGGTTTTCATATTTACAGTTATTTGTACAGTTTTATGATAAAAATTGAAAAATTTGCCGATGGTTTATTATAGCTAAGGCTCATAGATCCCTTTTAGCTGTTTCTTTTTCTGTTGTTCCTTGATTTATACTTGGAATTTCAAGATGAAATTTTCAACTTTGGACATAATTAAAAATGAATGGAGTTGTTTATCTGTACCATAGAAAAGTAGATAATCATGATTTATCAAAAAAAGTGGATAAATCATTGATTTTTGGCACTACTGTGCATGTGAATGTGTTCAATTTAAAGAATGGTAAAGAATTTGTCTTTGTTGTTGGAAAACTTGATTGTGGTGACTACGAAACGATTAAAGGTTTGGACTAATCAAAATGAAAAAAAGAAATGTTAGTAAAGCTTTGTAGCAAAAGGTTGAGCGACTTCATCATTTACTTTGAGTAACATTTGTGTGCCCAAAGATGATAGAGTACTGTCGATTTTCGTGCGAAGAGCATCTGTGTACTTATTATTGATTTGTCATTTCGTTGAGGCAAATGTGACAATTTACTCTAAACTGTGTATATTGGGGTTTATGCGAATTTCAGACTTGTTGTCTGTGTGATGTTGTTTGTGGCTATACTTTTTTGCTACTTTCATACATTTGTATTTCATATATTCTAAGTAATTTGTCATTTATTAGGTTACACATACATTTGTTTCACCTGTCTCGGGAGATTTGTTAAATTTCATCAATTGGTTTCTGCTGGAACTATATGGATCAGAAAATGAATGTATATATCTGGGACATGGATGAAACCCTCATATTACTAAAGTCATTGATAAATGGGACATATGCTGAGGCATTCAATGGATCCAAGAATGTACAGAGTGGTGTAGAAATTGGGAAGATGTGGGAGAATCATATTCTTCAGATATGTGATGATCACTTCTTTTATGAGCAGGTTAGTTAATCTTCTTATAATATATTGGACCAGAGAACTAATACACAGTCTTCATGAATCCTGCTGATCATGGACTAATGCTTGTTTAACTCTGTTATATGGATTTTCAGGTTGAAAACTGTAATATGCCATATTTAGATGTCTTGAAACAATATGATGATGGTAAAGATCTCGCTGAATATGATTTCAATAAAGATGGCTTTGGTCCGCCAAGTGATGATCTTAATAAAAAGAGATTAGCATACCGTCATCGGGCTGTAGCACAGAAGTACAAAAAGGTACTATTGTATTTTTTGTTTTGACTATTTTTAAAAGGTCCATTTTCTGATTGAAGGAGGCTAATGAATGGTGCCAGACTGAAATATCTACTCTGTTCGGTACTTGGTAGTGAAGATCATTGATATTCCACTCTGATGTTACCAACTTGATAAGCAACCATAATATTGCACCTTTTACGAGATTTTGTGTTAGTTGATGTGGTTCTCTAGTTTTTCTAATGTTCTATGTTCGTTTCATAACTAGGATAAGTGATACATAGCATGGCTACTCATAGAAAAAAGACGTTATAAATAGCATGGCTGAGTCTCTAACTTGGTTTGTTCCTAGTTTTGGCTAAAACAAGAATGCTCATGATTTTGGTGTGTGAAAGTTGCATTCAAGAAAGTTATGCATCTAGATCATATGAACCATTTATCCCTTCCATTACCTGAGGATATGTAGGTAATCTACAAAATAGCTACTCGAATTGACTAAAGAGGGAAGAGTTTTTTCTCCTTCTCAAATTAAATATTCTCGTTTCTACCGACCGGTTGTTCTGAAAAAGACATGACATTGACTGTTATTAATGTTAAGACCATACCAAGAACTTTATAGATCTTAGTACTAAGATGAAGCTTTTAGAGGTTGTATATGATCTCTATTGGTGTTGGGGTCATTAACTTCACACTGGGGCCTGGGCCATACATGATGTATCGATCGTGAAAGAAACTGCTTATGGTATTCCACTCTGCTCAACAGTCTCCCTTTTGACCAAAGGAAAATATATACTGCAGCTTAACTTTGTTACTAGAAGTTGTGCTTCTATTTGAATATTTTGAGTATAACATAACATAACTATAACAACCTTCATTTACCATTTGTTGTAGGGGTTGCATAGTATTCTTGACCAAGACATGATTAAATCGTGGAGCGAGCTTTATGACGTCACTGATAGTTATACTGACATGTGGTTCTCAGCAGGTAGGTTACTCTAGATTCTATCACTATAGTGAATCATCTTGCCGTATGGATTTTAATTTTGGACTGAGGATAGAATATCACTAATGTGGTGGACTGGCATAGAACATATTTTTTTGCTGTGTTTGTGTATTTTGGAGTGACATGTATTCATGTGTTTGTATAGGCACATAATGCTTTAAAAAAAAAAACTGCGCCGAAGAAGTTAATTTACTATAGGTGAACTGCAGGTCCATAAATATACATCTCTTCCTAATCCGTTTTACAGATATAAATTATTGTAAAAAGCACTTTAATCAATTGCAGTGAAATAAAACTTTTGAATGCACAATTTAACAGATATACCAAACTTTGTATTCTTAAAAGCTGGAAGGACGCCTTCATTGGAAATCATCAAATAAGAC